AGACTAGTTCTAATGAAATACACGCATACAACCCAGCATTGGAGTCTTCCAAATGTCTTGTGAGATCTGTGACTATAATGCATATTTAAGTGAAAATGGATAGTCAGTTGTGGGAATAAAAACTTGAACAGTTCATTTAAAAAAGATAGTAAGAAATATTTTAATGAATTATAGATATAAAAGAAACATGTGCAGTGATTTTGTTTGAGAAGGAGCAAGAATGAATTACAGCAAAATTAGAAAAAAAATACAGATGGAGGAAATGTCTTTCCAAATAATAACAAGGAGAGCCGCATAAACAGCCTCAGAGTGTTACCCTGATCTCCACACCCCGTCAGCTGGAGCATGCCCACTCCAGACCTGACATCTCGTGGCACGGAGAAGGAATTGTCCTGTGGGGGTGTGGATGGAGGGAGAAGGCGGCTCTAAGGGATGCTGGCAAACAGCCACCGGCCAAAGCACACAAAACTAGGCTAGAAGTTTAAACAAGTGGGCATTTGAATGTCTGTGTCCAAGGTCTAATTTGAGGCCTTAGATTATTGTGGGAAGAAGGTATGTGCTGCACGCAATTAGAAACTCAGAAATCAAACATGTCATAAATATTTGAAGATTCTTACAGGGCAGGAACAATCTACAAAAGCGAATGCAATGAGCTCTGCCCTCTTTCCTGCAAGCATTTGCCTCAGGAGAAGCGGGCCCAGTGCTGTAAGAGCTAGAAGGTGCAATCTGGGAGGGAAAGGCTGAGCTGAAAAAAACCACAGCACCCCAGGCCCATCCACGGCCCACTGCAGCCACCAGACAGACAGACGCAGACACAGATGAATGGACAGAGCTGGAGAAGAATAGAAATGGAGGCAGAGAAAAAAATGCAGATATGTAGAGATAAAAGTTTATGAAAATGAAGATAGGAGCAGGTGTGTGGAGATACAGCTATAGAGAAACAGATCTGTCATCTATCATATCAACTATCATAATCTACTTATCACCTAAGTGCCTATCATCTCTCTCTCTCTATCATCTACCCGTAACCTGTATCTCAGATATCTATCTATCTATCTATCTATCTATCTATCTATCTATCTATCTATCTATCTATCTATCTAGAGGTAGAGAGAGGTAGATACAGCTGCATGACATTCATATTTCTTTTCCAACTTGTTGGAGGTTCTGGGGAGTGACTTTGGGGCTTTGTGCTTGCAGGCAGGTGCTCTATCACTTGAGCCACATCTCCTGCTCAGGTACAGGGTTTTGTTCAGATCCCTCCCATGAGCCTCCCCCCCACTTACATGGTTACCACTGCCTCATTTTTGCAGCTCTGCCTTGAGCCATGTGTGAACATCTTGAGGTAATGACACTGAACCCAGCTGTCGTCTGTCTGTCTGTCTGTCTGTCTGTCTGTCTGTCTCAATTGAGGAAGCAGGAGGCTAATCCAGGCTGCAATGTCCTTGGCCTGCCCAGCTCCAGCACAGGAAGGGCTTGCTAAGCCAGGGAGACGTCAAAATCCATTTGTCCACCATTGAGTGTCAGGACCTGAATTCATAGCCCAGGAAGCACACAGGGAAAGGGTCTGCCTTGGAGGATTTGGAGGCCCGCGCGGAAAGCATGGAAACGCAGTGGGGTTGGCCACCCAGCTGTTGTCTGCAGCACCAGGGCCTTGGGTGTCTCCGCTAAAGCATCCAGGTCTTGTTACCTCTGGAATGGCTCTAAGCGTAAGCAACTTAATTGCTTGACTTCCTGTTTCATTTCCTGTTCCAAGACAGGCACCAAAGATTTGGTGATAAAAGCAGATACTGGGGTCTCTGACTTCACATGGAAGCTGAGTTATATCTTAATAACATGCCCAACGCCCAATATCATTGTGAGCCTTGCAGAGTTAGAAGAAAAGAGCAATCTGCAGAGGAGACAGTCTTTCTGGGCCTCTGGGACAGGAGGCCCAGCATGTGAGCTCAGGAGAGAGGGACCACGGAGAGGCTCTGCAGGGCCCGTGCTGGTGGACGTGTTGTGCCTGGCAAACTGGCAGGAATGCCGTGAATACACGGTAAAATTTAGGAAGCTTTCTAAAAGGAGGAGCAGGGATGGGAAAAGCAACTTATGCTTCCTGTCATCTCATAAAAGTTTTTCAAGTATTTATATAAGAGCCAATTACCTGTCCTGTTTTGTGGCAACTTTAAATCATGCTATAATATCACAGAATACATTTTAAATTTCTTACAAAGAATGCCTCATACATTCTTCATCTGATAAGTGATGGATGTTTTTACACTGTAAGATTATCCTTGAAGTCAACCTCACCCAGCATCAGTGTTTTATTTTCCAGGTTTCCTCAGCATAAGTGGAGAGGACTCTGTGTGTACACACGGTCCTGGAATGACACTGGCATTTCATAACATTTCATTTATCCTTTGGTCATATTTTCAAGACAACCAGTGTTTTCTGAGATAATTCATTTTGGTAGTACAGTAGATATGAAAGAATCCCTTCCACTGGGAATTGCCTGCTCATCTTCTTGGGTCTCATCTCCTGGGAGGGAGAGGAATGAAACATACACACACAGAGTGCACACAGAGTGCACACATATATACACACATGCACACGTGTGCACACACATGCACGCACATTGCACTCACAGTGTGGGTCTGATGCCAGGCAGGGCCTATGACAGCCAAGTCCCTGTGTCCCCATGACTGAGCCAGGGGTGACAAGAGAGGCTCGCATCTCAGCTATTTGTACAACAGCATGGGCTGGCTACCGTGGGTGGGAATCACTACCCATTCAGACCCTGGCAGGAGGAGGAAGAGGAAAGGGTAACTTCTCCTTCCTCTGGGACTGAGCTCCTGGTTGTCAGGAGCCCGTACAAAGAAGGAATCACACCACCAGCTCTGCAAGTTCTCCAGCCTGCAGATCACAGCTCACGGCACTTCCCAGCTGCTGGACCCCAAACAAATCTCCTGTACCTGTCTCTAGATTCACGCTGCTGCTTCCCCTGCGAAACGCTAGAGAATGTTGGATGGATATGGATTACCATGGGGTTGAGCCATGACTACTTTTTTAGGGGGAAGAGAATGAGAGATTATTCTCCACGAGTGATTTCTGAGTGATTGATTGGTGTGGTTTTGACATTCTCTTCATTAATAAGCCTCAAAAGTAATTCTAACAGAGACACAGAGATCGGAGCAAAAATAAAATCCTATGACTATTTTACCAAAACGTCATGTGGTCTTTCCTGCCCCCCCCCACACTCTTGTATGGATTGTTATCATTGAGTATCTGTGAAAGGGGGTTCAATTCAACATGACAGTTGGTGAGAATAATACATGGTGATCAGTGTCACCTAGATGCAGATTTTCTGTTGAAGTCAATCAGCATTTCCACGTTGATGACGACCTTGAAAATTACTGAGGTGATTCTTCCTTTTCCAACTACCCTTCTTCTCTTTCCAGTTCACATTTCCCCTATTCCACATTAATTAATTATATTCCTTACAAACACATCAGGTCTCAACCATGTAGGATGCACACAACAGTTTAAGTATGATTTCTATCAACTCCTCCTTATTTCAGAGTTCAGTTACTGACATGGAATTAATGTGCAATAGTTCACCTGAATCAAATTATTAAACTCCTGAAGCACAAAGAGAAAAAAATGTTTGAAAACATAATGTTTCTGTTTAACCTTTATTGTTATATTCAGCTCTAGGCGACTCAGAGTAGTTTTTGGAGACATAAAAGAACAACTGGATCATGGGGGAAAAAACCGACATTGCGGTCTAACCTTGCTGAGCCTCAACAGCTGGAGGCGCAAGCAAGATGGAGAGCTTGTGAACCAGAAAGCCCTGAACAACAGCCACACTGGCCACTGCTTGGTTTTGAAGGTGTTTGAAGACGAGGAGGAAAAGTTTCAGGGTAACTCTTGAAATAAAAAAAATCCATGCAATTCAATCATCTCTGCAGCATGAATCCTACTTTCAATCAGCAGCATGGCTCTTTGTAGTTATAACTTTTAGATGAACCTTATGAAACAATAGAATAGTTGGGGCAGGAGAGGCTCTAGAGCCTTGCTGGTGTCCAGTGGAGGTAGGCGACCTTCGACCAGCTGCTGTCCAGGTGTGTGGCTGGCAGCAGTGTGGGCCGGAGCAGAGAGGACTGGCTTCTCACAGTGTGCCTGAGGCCCAGGTAGACCCGGTCCCTTATCTTCATCTCCTGACATAAAAAGGCAGCCTGTTGTAGGTGCTTTCAGATAAGCGCCAAAAATGCAAAGGAAATCACTGGGTTTTGACGAGATTTTATGCAGAAATTCTCAAGGCCCAAATAAAAACTCGAGTAACGGTGGGTGGCATTTATATGGAAAGGCATTTTGTAAAGTATATGATAATTTTTGCCAAGTGAGTGCAACATTTAGTATTCAGTCATTATGATATGATATAAAATATGTGCATGAAATGAAAGAGGTTTAATTCCACACACATTCAAAGGAATAGGAAATTGAAATCGAACTATTAGCATTTAGGATTAGTGACTGTAAACAGTGGTGTATTTTGACAGGAAGTTTTATTTACCTTTCTTTGCGAAGATGTTGCTTGCTTTTGTCCTTCTCTTTCTCTTAGCTCTTCAGAATACTTATTCATTTTCTGGCTCAGCATGCAGAAGGAAAATACTGATTATTTATTGAATTTGCAAATGAATATTTTAGGGCTGCTGGAGTCATGTGAACATTACTGAACATTTATTATGTGCTAATTTGTGAAAGCTAAAGCAGGCCTATTGCCTATTCTCATTTCTATCGGCAGAGACACACACGGGCATGCACGCGCATTGGGCCTCTAAGTTCATGTGCAGAATCCCGTCTTTTCTCTTCCAAATTAACCTAAGGGTTTGAGCTCCTGCCTTGTTCCACTGATGTCTCAGCTGAAAAGTAGTTGATCTTTATAGCGATGTCTGGAACCCTCCTTCTAGGCTGTCCTGCAGTTGACACAGTGACCACAAGTCACAAGTCGCATTTATTCAATGTCCGCCAGCCAACGTCCTGGAGACGGCCGTCAGGAGTGAGGTTTTGGAAGAAAAGCAGGCTATCCTCTGCGCAAAGAGCAACGAGGTGCTTTCCCGCCTTTCCCGCGCTCTGCAACGAGGTGCTTTCCCGCGCTCTGCAACGAGGTGCTTTCCCGCGCTCTGCAACGAGGTGCTTTCCCGCGCTCTGCAACGAGGTGCTTTCCCGCCTTTCCCGCGCTCTGCAACGAGGTGCTTTCCCGCGCTCTGCGCGCTCGGGCCGCGGCCACAGCCCTGCGTCTGCCGGTCCGGCCCGCGCCTCAGGCCGCGTCCGCCCCTAGACGCGGTGCCCGCGAGCAGCCTCCCGGCGGCCCACCGCTGCTTCCTCCTCCTGCCCGGGTGCTGAGACCCTGTGTGTCCCCGGCTCACCCTGCGGCTGCCCGCAAAGCCGGTGCGGGCCTCGGCCTGCTCGGGGAGTCCGCGCCCAGCGCCCAGCCCTCGGGCTTCCAGGAGCCCCCGGGAGGCTCCGTTCCCGTGGCGTTTCTCCACGGCCCAGCTCTCCCGTGAGGCCCTCTCGGGGACCCTCAGGGCGCCGAGGTGCCCCGCCTCCCCGGGAGGCCTCGGCGGGCGGACGAGGGGCGCGAGGGGCTCGGGCCCCGCAGCTCGCGGGACGCTCGCGGTGAGATCTCCCCAAGGGAGGTAGCGCCGCTCCTGCGCCGCCCTTCACGGTGCCCTCTGGAGAGACTCGGGTTATTTAGCCGGTGAATTCAGGTTGCTGGCAGAAGGAACTGTGCACCGGTGCGGGGTCTCGGTGGTGTGGCACGCGGACGACGCGAGGGCCGCGGAGACGAGGGCCGGGGACGCGAGGGCCCCGGATGTAAGGGCCGCAGAGACCAGGGCCGCGGAGGCGAGGGCCCCGGATGTGAGGGCCCCGGATGTAAGGGCCGCAGAGACCAGGGCCGCAGAGGCGAGGGCCCCGGATGTGAGGGCCCCGGATGTAAGGGCCGCAGAGACCAGGGCCACGGAGGGGAGGGCCGCAGAGACCAGGGCCGCGGAGGCGAGGGCCGCGGAGGGGAGGGCCGCGGAGGCGAGGTCCGCGGAGGGGAGGGCCGCGGAGGGGAGGGCCGCGGAGGCGAGGTCCGCGGAGGGGAGGGCCGCGGAGGGGAGGGCCGCGGAGGCGAGGTCCGCGGAGGGGAGGGCGCGGAGGGGAGGGGCGCGGAGGCGAGGGGCGCGGAGGGGAGGGCCGCGGAGGGGAGGGCGCGGAGGGGAGGGCCGCGGAGGCGAGGGGCGCGGAGGGGAGGGCGCGGAGGGGAGGGGCGCGGAGGCGAGGGGCGCGGAGGGGAGGGCCGCGGAGGGGAGGGCCGCGGAGGGGAGGGCCGCGGAGGCGAGGTCCGCGGAGGGGAGGGCCGCGGAGGGGAGGGCCGCGGAGGGGAGGGCCGCGGAGGGGAGGGCCGCGGAGGCGAGGGCCGCGGAGGGGAGGGGCGCGGAGGGGAGGGCCGCGGAGGGGAGGGGCACGGAGGGGAGGGCCGCGGAGGGGAGGGCCGCGGAGGGGAGGGCCGCGGAGGCGAGGGCCGCGGAGGGGGGAGCCGCGGAGGCGAGGGCCGCGGAGGGGGGAGCCGCGGAGGCGAGGGCCGCGGAGGGGGGAGCCGCGGAGGCGAGGGCCGCGGAGGGGGGAGCCGCGGAGGCGAGGGCCGCGGAGGCGAGGGGCGCGGAGGGGAGGGGCGCGGAGGGGAGGGCCGCGGAGGCGAGGGGCGCGGAGGGGAGGGCCGCGGAGGCGAGGGCCGCGGAGGGGAGGGGCGCGGAGGGGAGGGCGCGGAGGGGAGGGCGCGGAGGGGAGGGCCGCGGAGGCGAGGGCCGCGGAGGCGAGGGCCGCGGAGGGGAGGGCCGCGGAGGCGAGGGCCGCGGAGGGGGGAGCCGCGGAGGCGAGGGCCGCGGAGGGGAGGGGCGTGGAGGCGAGGGGCGCGGAGGGGAGGGCCGCGGGGGGGGGCCGCGGAGGGGAGGGCCGCGGAGGGGAGGGCGCGGAGGGGAGGGCCGCGGAGGCGAGGGGCGCGGAGGGGAGGGCGCGGAGGGGAGGGCGCGGAGGGGAGGGCGCGGAGGGGAGGGCCGCGGAGGGGAGGGCCGCGGAGGGGAGGGCGCGGAGGGGGGAGCCGCGGAGGCGAGGGCCGCGGAGGGGGGGAGCCGCGGAGGCGAGGGCCGCGGAGGGGAGGGCCGCGGAGGGGAGGGCCGCGGAGGGGAGGGCCGCGGAGGGGAGGGCCGCGGAGGCGAGGGCCGCGGAGGGGGGAGCCGCGGAGGCGAGGGCCGCGGAGGCGAGGGCCGCGGAGGGGGGAGCCGCGGAGGCGAGGGCCGCGGAGGGGAGGGGCGTGGAGGCGAGGGGCGCGGAGGGGAGGGCCGCGGAGGGGAGGGCGCGGAGGGGAGGGCCGCGGAGGCGAGGGGCGCGGAGGGGAGGGCGCGGAGGGGAGGGCGCGGAGGGGAGGGCGCGGAGGGGGAGGGCGCGGAGGGGAGGGCCGCGGAGGGGAGGGCCGCGGAGGGGAGGGCGCGGAGGGGGGGAGCCGCGGAGGCGAGGGCCGCGGAGGGGGGAGCCGCGGAGGCGAGGGCCGCGGAGGCGAGGGCCGCGGAGGGGAGGGCCGCGGAGGCGAGGGCCGCGGAGGGGAGGGGCGTGGAGGCGAGGGGCGCGGAGGGGAGGGCCGCGGGGGGGGGGCCGCGGAGGGGAGGGCGCGGAGGGGAGGGCGCGGAGGGGAGGGCCGCGGAGGCGAGGGGCGCGGAGGGGAGGGCGCGGAGGCGAGGGCCGCGGAGGGGAGGGCCGCGGAGGCGAGGGCCGCGGAGGGGGGAGCCGCGGAGGCGAGGGCCGCGGAGGGGGAGCCGCGGAGGCGAGGGCCGCGGAGGGGAGGGCCGCGGAGGGGAGGGCCGCGGAGGGGAGGGCCGCGGAGGGGAGGGCCGCGGAGGGGAGGGCCGCGGAGGCGAGGGCCGCGGAGGGGGGAGCCGCGGAGGCGAGGGCCGCGGAGGCGAGGGCCGCGGAGGGGAGGGCCGCGGAGGGGAGGGCCGCGGAGGCGAGGGCCGCGGAGGCGGAGGCGAGGGGCCGCGGAGGGGAGGGGCGTGGAGGCGAGGGGCGCGGAGGGGAGGGCCGCGGGGGGGGGGGGCCGCGGAGGGGAGGGCGCGGAGGGGAGGGCGCGGAGGGGAGGGCCGCGGAGGCGAGGGGCGCGGAGGGGGGGGGCCGCGGAGGGGAGGGCCGCGGAGGGGGAGGGCGCGGAGGGGAGGGCGCGGAGGGGAGGGCGCGGAGGGGAGGGCCGCGGAGGGGAGGGCCGCGGAGGGGGAGGGCGCGGAGGGGAGGGCCGCGGGGGGGGGGAGGGCGCGGAGGGGAGGGCCGCGGGGGGGGGGGTGCCGCGGAGGCGAGGGCCGCGGGAGGGGTGCGGAGGGGAGGGGCGCAGAGGGGAGGGCCGCGGAGGGGAGGGGCGCGGAGGGGAGGGGCGCGGAGGGGAGGGGCCGCGGAGGGGAGGGCCGCGGAGGGGAGGGGCGCGGAGGGGAGGGGCGCGGAGGGGAGGGCCGCGGAGGGGAGGGCCGCGGAGGGGAGGGGCGCGGAGGGGAGGGGCGCGGAGGGGAGGGGCGCGGAGGGGAGGGCGCGGAGGGGAGGGCCGCGGGGGGGGAGGGCGCGGAGGGGAGGGCCGCGGGGGGGGGGCCGCGGAGGCGAGGGCCGCGGAGGGGTGCGGAGGGGAGGGGCGCAGAGGGGAGGGCCGCGGAGGGGAGGGGCGCGGGGGGGGAGGGCGCGGAGGGGAGGGCCGCGGGGGGGGGGGGCCGCGGAGGCGAGGGCCGCGGAGGGGTGCGGAGGGGAGGGCCGCGGAGGGGAGGGCCGCGGAGGGGAGGGGGCGCGGAGGGGGAGGGGCGCGGAGGGGAGGGCCGCGGAGGGGAGGGGCGCGGAGGGGAGGGGCGCGGAGGGGAGGGGCGCGGAGGGGAGGCCGCGGAGGGGAGGGCCGCGGACGCGAGGGCCGCGGAGGGGAGGGGCGCGGAGGGGTGCGGAGGGGAGGGGCGCGGAGGGGGTGCGGAGGGGAGGGGCGCGGAGGGGAGGGCCGCGGAGGGGAGGGCCCGCGGAGGGGGAGGGCCGCGGAGGGGGGGGGCCGCGGAGGGGAGGGGGCGCGGAGGGGAGGGCCGCGGAGGGGAGGGCGCGGAGGGGAGGGCCGCGGAGGGGAGGGCCGCGGAGGGGGGGGCGCCGCGGAGGGGAGGGCCGCGGGGGGGGGGCCGCGGAGGCGAGGGGCGCGGAGGGGAGGGCCGCGGAGGGGAGGGCGCGGAGGGGAGGGCCGCGGAGGGGAGGGGCGCGGAGGGGAGGGCCGCGGAGGCGAGGGGCGCGGAGGGGAGGGCCGCGGAGGGGAGGGGCGCGGAGGGGAGGGCCGCGGAGGGGAGGGCCGCGGAGGGGAGGGCCGCGGAGGCGAGGGGCGCGGAGGGGAGGGGCGCGGAGGCGAGGGGCGCGGAGGGGAGGGCCGCGGAGGCGAGGGGCGCGGAGGGGAGGGCCGCGGAGGGGAGGGCCGCGGAGGGGAGGGCCGCGGAGGGGAGGGGTGCGGAGGGGAGGGCCGCGGAGGCGAGGGCCGCGGAGGGGAGGGCGCGGAGGGGAGGGCGCGGAGGGGAGGGCGCGGAGGCGAGGGGCGCGGAGGGGAGGGGTGCGGAGGGGAGGGCCGCGGAGGCGAGGGGCCGCGGAGGGGAGGGCGCGGAGGGGAGGGCCGCGGAGGGGAGGGCGCGGAGGGGAGGGCGCGGAGGGGAGGGCGCGGAGGCGAGGGGCGCGGAGGGGAGGGCGCGGAGGGGAGGGCGCGGAGGCGAGGGGCGCGGAGGGGAGGGGTGCGGAGGGGAGGGCCGCGGAGGCGAGGGCCGCGGAGGGGAGGGCGCGGAGGGGAGGGCCGCGGAGGGGAGGCCGCGGAGGGGAGGGCGCGGAGGGGAGGGCCGCGGAGGCGAGGGGCGCGGAGGGGAGGGGCGCGGAGGGGAGCGCCGCGGAGGGGAGGGGTGCGGAGGGGAGGGGCGCGGAGGCGAGGGCCGCGGAGGGGAGGGCCGCGGAGGGGGGGCCGCGGAGGCGAGGGCCGCGGAGGGGAGGGCGCGGAGGGGAGGGCGCGGAGGGGAGGGCCGCGGAGGGGGGGCCGCGGAGGCGAGGGCCGCGGAGGGGAGGGCCGCGGAGGCGAGGGCCGCGGAGGGGAGGGCCGCGGAGGGGAGGGCCGCGGAGGCGAGGGCCGCGGAGGGAGGGCCGCGGAGGCGAGGGGTCTCCGCGCTCAGCCCCGTCTGCGCTGTTCTTCACCAGCGTTTCTTGGTTGGACACCAGACTTCTTGAGGCCACGCCTGACACTTCTTCAGCCCCTTTTGAGAAACACAATCCGCACCCGCGGAGCGTGGAGAGGCCTGCTGAGGACGAGGGAGCCTTCCTGGAGCAGTGAGTGCAGCTTGGAGGCTTTGACGGGGGGCCAGGCCCACGGAGGCCCCGGCCCATCCCGGCAGGCAGGGCCGTGCATCTTCTTGCTGCCCGCTCTCCGCTCACGCCTTCAGGGGCACATGAGCTCTAGACCATGTTGGTGATGGCAAACACGCAGCTGAGCGGAGCGAGGGGCAGTGCAGAGCGAGCTGGCTTCTAAGTCCGCAGGACGGGCTCCTGCGATGGCCAGGAGGCCCCAGCCCTATGAGCGGCCTCTGTCGGGGAGGTGGAGGCCGGCCCAGGGAGGCTTGGACACCTGGCCCAGCAGAGTGAGGCTTGTGATGGCAGAGTCTAACGTTCAAGTTCAAAGTCACCAACTGGGACTGAATCCCGAGCTGGGCAGGAGCCCCAGGCAGGGCTGCTCCCGTGCATTCTAACCCAGCAAGCAAGAAAACACTCTGTTGCCCAGTGAGTGTGTTTCCTTGGCAGTGGCCGCTGCTGCTCTGTAATTCTTCTCCACCTTGGAAAGTTTACTGTTGTTTCACTGGTGCCGTTCTGAGAGTACAGTAACTCCTAGCCTACGCTATGGGAGTGGACAGGATTCCAGCAGGTGACAGCACCCCTGACAGGATTGGGAGGTCATATACACACACACACACACACACACACACACACACACACACACACATACATATATGTAATACTGAACAAATCTGGCCTCCTCCCCTGTGGTGTCTGAGGTCACACATCTCAGGATGCATGACAGAGACACTTCGAGACAGAGAAGGCCCAGCTGGCCTCATCTGGACTGTGCTTGGTGGTCCTCTCCTGCTCCACAGAGAGGGGTTCCTGGGGTCCACTGTGAGCCCACACACCAGCAGAGCCACGGTGCTGAGGCCACGGCACACGTTCATCTTGAGAACCCCCAAAGATTTTATAACTACCGCCACAAGGAAGCAGTTCCAATGCAGAATGCCTCCAGGACAGCACCGGCCCTCCTTCACTTCTCAGTACCTGAAACTGCGCACACGCTGAACCGAGTTGCATTTCAATGTATTCCAGTGGAATACATTCCCACCGTAAACTTAGCAAAGCAACATTCTGATTCTTGAATACGTAAGCACCCTCTAATCCACAAGCTACTTCTTGGGCTTGATAGACTCAGCCATTATTTATTTCTAAGAATAAAAAAATTAAAATCTTTAATCAGTTAGTCCCATTGACTCTTACTTTATTTCCATGATAATGTTTTGCTAAAAGCCAATTTAACTATGCAAATATATGCATACTCTTTGTCTAGAAATTCCACTTAATTTTAATAAGTAAGTTAGTAGACAAAACTCATACATTGTTGAATTAAAAACATTATGAATTAAGGATGGAGCTGACTGTCTCAGTAAAGGAATTTTTATTATTCAATTATTCAGTTATAAATTAAAATTAGAGCTGTAGTGAAACAGAATTAACCGATCTATTCAAATCACATATGTTGGGAGTAAAACCTTACAATTAATTTGTTCAGGAGACAGAAACAACATGACGGTGGCACTCCCAGCCTCCCAGGAAAAGTTTCAAATGAGGAAGCAGCAAACAATTCTTCAAGTGGCTAATTGTTAATTTTAATTCGGTCCTATCACCATAACACAATTTGGGACATTTGGGTTCCTTAAAAACCTCTATTTAAAATTTTAGTGTTTTGAAATGAGTATTAGTTAAGGGCACACAACACAGGTATTTCCTTTAAAGTCTGTAGGATATATTTTTAGTAGTATTTGCAAAGTTTTAAGTGAAAAACATTGCAAAACCATTCCAGGCTGTAGAAAGCATAACAAGTAATTGTTCATTTCAAGAGGCAAAAGCATGCTGCCAACTGAAGTTAGTGGTCAGTGTTCAGCATACCACACAGGGGCCATGGATGTCCAATACCCCTGGGTTTGCACATACACAGCTGATGCTGTGCAGGCTCGGGTGAAAGCGTTGCTTTTTACTACAGTGTGTCAGTGTCAGTAAACTCTATGCCAGGTCAGTTCTCCTGATTGCTCACTGCAAACAGCAGTGTTCTCCTTTCCTACGTATTGACAGTGACTCAGTCACAGAAGAGATAATTGTGGAACTAAGAACTATACTAGCATTCTGTAAGCTTAAAAAAAAAATCTAGCTGTGGGGCACTGGTGGCTCACGCCTGTCATCCTAGCTACTCAAGAGGCTGAGATCTGAGGCTCTCAGGATCAGTTCAAAGCCAGGCTGGGCAGGACAGCCCGTGAGACTCTTATCTCCAATCAACCACTCAGAAAACTGAAAGTGGCGCTGTGGAGTGGTAGAGTGCTAGCCTTGAGTTGAAGAGCTGAGGGACAGTGCCTAGGCCTCTAGCCTTGAGCTGAAGAGCTGAGGGACAGTGCCTAGGCCCAAGTTCAAGCCCATGACTGAAAAAAAAAAATCTAACTTACCCTGAGCTATGTTGGGTCATTAAGTATGAATGTGGTACGCTTTTGTCTCTGTCTTTACAGGGGTAGCAATGTTTCATTACCTTCTCTAACATGAGCTTTATCGTCTGTTGTATTTTGTGGTAAACCAATGCACCTTGTGGGTGAGACACAAGTGTTTCTTATCTATTTCCTTTCCACTGTGATTCCTCACAGTCAGCTCAGATACATGCATAGTTCTAAGACATAACTTATTATGACAAATTAATT